CTATATTAAAAAATAAAAAATAAAAAAAGTACAATCGGAATTTATCTAGGGACGGGGTGTACTGAAACCCCGGTGCTCTTATTCCTTCTGCAGGAAGAATTTACCAACTGATGAATGAGAGTTTGTGAATCTAGAGTTATGGGGCTTTCTAGAGAAAATGAAGGGAGGGGAAGGTCTAACTCCCTGAGACTGTGATGGTTAGGGGTGAGAAGTGTTGTCAGAAGCCTGGAGGAACAGAGAATGCAGAAAGCTGCTAGTTTACTTCCCAGGCTGTGAAATAACTGCACATATTAAAGGTAAATGGATAGCTTTCCCTGGGCAGGGGTGTGTGGGTGGGGCATATGGAACAGAGCGGAGCTTGCCTCAGAAATACAGCTACAAATGAGAGGAGCAGCTCCCATGAGGCCCCAAGTGAGGAAGGCTGAGGACGAGCCTGGGAAGCAGGTGTGGAGAGCAGACAAGGTTTTCAGGCAGGGGGAGGCAATGGTTTCCCTCTTCTGCCTCAACCCTTATGCTTCAGAATGTTGCGTGTGTGGTGGGGGGGGGATGGTTGAGATAATGGTGGCGTGGAGTGGTCACCAAGATGTGAAGTTTGTGGGGTGAACTTGCCCTTACCGTGCCTAGACCCAAGCATCACTTAACAAATCTAACAGCATATACTGAATTCCTGTCAAGGGTCTTCATGAGACAGTCACTCATATAGCCATAAATACTTTGACATAGAAAAAAGTCACACACTTCCATATACAACTGCTTTGTTAAAGCACACACTTAGTCATATATACACACACCAGGCCTCTGCCGCTTGCACATACAACCCAGGTGTGGGACAGACACCGCTATCTCAAACTTCAGAGTGGTTATCTGTAAGAACCATTAACACGTCACATGTACCGCATGTATCACTTTGAGTAGCAATGCCAGGCACACTTTGCACAAACCACAACAAAATGCTGATTCAACACAACCTTATAAGAGGTGTCAGATAAAATACAGGATGTCCAGTTAAACATGAACTTCAAATAAACCACAAGTGATATTCTGGTATGAGTATGTCCCAAATGTTGTATGAAACATATTTTCACTAAAAATAAGTATGACTCAAATGCAATAGGTTTTCTTTAAATAGATTTAGGGGGCATGAAGTGTTCTTGTTATGTAGATGAATTGTGTAATGCTGAAGTCAAGGCTTTCAGTACATCTGTCACCAAAATAGTATACATCAGACCTCATAGGTAGATTTTTATCTGTTACGTTCCTCCTATCCTCCCCCCTTCTTAGTTTTCAGTGTTTATTACAATACTTTACGACCATACGTACTCCTCATTTATTCGTTTAACTCCCACTTAGAAGTGAGAACATGTTTTTTTTGTTTTTTTTTTTTTGAGACTGAGTCTTGCTTTGCCGCATGGGTAGAGTGCCATGGTGTCATCATAGTTCCTAGCAGCTTCAAACTCTTGGGCTCAAGCAATCTTCTTGCTTCAGCCTCTCAAGTAGTTGGGACTACAGGCACCTGCTATGATGCCTGGCTAGTTTTTCTATTTTTAGTAGAGATAAGGTCTTGCTTTTGCTCAGGCTGGTCTAGCATTCCTGAGTTCACGCGATCTACCTGCCTTGGATTCCCAGAGTGCTAGAATTAAAGGCATGAGTCACCATGCTTGGCCAATGTATCTATTTTTAGTAGAGAAAGAGCCTCGCTCTTGCTCAGGCTGGTCTCAAACTCCTGACCTCAACTTATTCTCCTGGCATGGCCTTCCAAAATACTATGATTATAGGAGTGACTTACCATGCTTGGTATGTCTTTCTATTCCTGAGATACACCACTTAGGATAGTTGGGTTCAATTCCACCCAAGTTGCTGCAAGAGACATTATTTCATTCCTTTTTATGGCTAAGTACTACCCCATAGTATACACCATATTTTCTTTATCCATATGTCAGTTGATGGGCACTTAGGTTGATTTCATATCTTTGAAATTGCAAACTTGCTATTATAAACACTTAAGTGAAGGCATCATTTTTTTTTTTTTTGGCAGTTTTTAGCTGGGGCTGGGTTTGAACCCACCACCTTCAGCATATGGGGCCCGTGCCCTACTCCATTGAGCTACAGGTGCCACCTGAGGGAAGACATCTTTTTGATAAAATGACTTATGTTCCTTTGGGTAAATACCCAGTAGTGGATTGCTAGGTAAAGTGGTAGGTCTACCTGTAGTTCTTTGAGGACTCTACTGTTTTTCCTTGAGGTTATACTAGTTTACATTCCCACCAAAAGCATATAAGTGTTCCCTTTCACGGCATCTTTTTTTTTGGATTATTTATTAATTGGACTTTTTAATAATAGTCATTCTACCATGGGTAAGGTGGTATCTCATTATGCTTTTAATTTGTATTTCTCTGATGATTAGTGATGTTGAGTGTATTTTCATGTGTTTCTTGGCCATTTGTATGTCTTGTTTTGAAAAAAATATGCTTATGTCTTTTTCTACTTTTTGATTTATTTTTCTTGCTGGTTTGTTTGAGTTCTTTGTAGATTCTGGATATTAGTACTTTGTCAGATATATAGTTTGGAATATTTTCTATCACTAAATTGGTTATTTATGCTGTTGATTATTTTCTTAGCTGTGCAGAAACATTTTAGTTAAGTTAAGTCCCATTTATTTACTTTCGTTGCTGCTATATTTGATATTGGGGTCTTAGTCATACATTCTCTGCTTCTGGGTCAATGTCCAGGAGAGTTCTATGTCTTTTTCTAAAATTTTTATGGTTTCAGATATTACACTTAAGTCTTTAATCCATCTTGTGTTAATTTTTGTATACAATGAAAGATAGAGGTCTAGTTTCATTTTTCTGTGTGTGGCTATATCCAATTTACCCAGCACCATTTATTGAATAGGGTATCTTTTCCCAAGTATATATTTTTGTCTGTTTTACCAAGTATATATTTTTGTCTGTTTTATCATAAATCAGTTGGTTGTAGGTACATGGTTTCTTTCTGGGTTCTCTATTTGCCTCTGGATCCTGTTTGCATATGTGGCAGGGCTGAAGTATTGCATGAGATGTACTTACACTGAGACATTGTTTATGATTTGTCTGACATTCAAATTTAACTAGGCATTAGGTATTTTTGTTTGCCAAATCTGTTAACCATTATATGTTCACCACAAACTGATTCAGTATGTACTTATTTCTATTTAATATCTGTCTTCTCCTATAAGAATGAGGGGCCCGATTAGAAGGACTTTGTTTTGTTCAGTATTTCCAGAGCCTAGAATAGCGGTCCAGCATCTGACACATGGTAGCCATTCACAAAATATTGCCAGATAAATGAATGAATATACACTGTAAATACAAGTCACACCATATAATCAGGCAAAGTCATGTATTGCAGAATCCCTGAGCCGTGAACGCAAACCGTGCACATAAACTTTCTGTAGGCACACTCCAGACATATAATCAAGTGAAGTCACATATTGCAGAATTCCTGAGCCATGAATGCAAACCATGAACACAAACTCTCTGTAGACACACTCCAGACACCATATTCATGATACTGGCTACACACTTGTCAAGTGCTACTGATACACATCCATCTTACACTTCAGATGTATTCACAATAACCACACCGGTCTACATTGCCAACAAGAACTAACAGAATAACTGGTGACTGGCATGAAATCCTGGGGAGTCCACAAGGACTAAGATGGTATATCTACCACACCTGACGTATGTCAGACACTTAGTAAATATTTGCTGGATGGATAGATGTTGCACAAATATGCCCAACACATCATATCTCTGTGCCTTTCATATTTTTCTCAGGAATCTCAAAGTTGCAAGAGGATGGCCCTCAGCCTGGATGTGCTGGAGTGGCCAAGGGCTGGAGCCTCAGTGTGGGAGAGCTCTCCTCTAACTCTGACTACTTTTCCTGCGTTTCTTCTCCACACAAGCTCATCCATGGTGGTAAGGGTACAGGGCTCCTTGGATGCAGAGCTCCTTAGGAGTGGAAATCTTGGGGTGTGTGCAGCTCCTGGGATGTGAGGCTCCTTGTGTGTGCAACATTTTGGTGTGAGGATCCTTGGGTGTGAGATTCTTTGGTTGTGAAGCTTCTTGGGTATGAGGCTCTGTGTGAAACTCATTGGTGTGAGGCTCCCTGTGTGTGAGATTCTTTGGTGTGGGATTTCTTAGGTGTGAGACTCTTTGCTATGAAGCTTCCTGAGTGGGAGATTCTGGTGTGGGGCTCCTTGGGTGTGAGGTTTTTTGGATGTGAGCCTCCCTGGGTGTGAGATTCTTTGGTGTGGTCTCTCCATGGGTGTGAAATTCTTTGGGTGTGAGACTCTTTGGAGAGGGGCTCCTTGGGTGAGGGGTAGAAGGCATATAGGTACAAGCATGAGGCTGAGAGGAAACCAAGGGAAGTTGGAGGTGGTTAGAGCTCTTGAGAGAAGCTGTAGAAGGATGACACACCTCTTAGATGAGGTGGATATGAGCTCAGTGTGGGAGAGCATCAGCCCTGTCATGGTCGTGATAGGCGATCAGGGAGCAGGGGCCAGAACAGTCTGAATTTGGGGTGTGGAACCAAGTCCATATCTTCATTTGGAGATTAAACACCTTCAGGGGAACTATGTAAGCTTTTCTTTTGCCTTTGCCTTCCAGAAGAGGATAGAATTCCTCATCATAGGCCTCTGATACTGTAGTGGGACCACACATATAGCTGCACACACATAACCCAAACGCATGACTTACAAGTCCTTTCTCCCATACCATCTCCTAAATTCCACAACTAACACATCAGTGAGGTCACAAGCTCACATTCTCATAACATACTTACCCCAGTAACATCTCACCCCACAAAGACACCAGATTCACTACTCCATGATACGTACAACAAACGCCAAACTCGTCACACTGCTACTTTATCCCACAATCCTTGTCTCCTACACCACATGTATTCAATTTTCATTTCCTTGGCTTCTGGCAGGGCCTATACACATTTTCATGTTTGTAATTTTCTTTCCCAGGAATCCGGAGATTACATCGAGACAGTCCCCAGACTAGATCGCCCCTAGCCCAGGTTCAGGAACGAGGGGAGACATCACCCTGCCCACAGAATGTCTCCTTGTTGTCCTGTTCATCCTATAAGACCTGTGTGTCCTCTCTGAATATAAAAAAAGAGGAAAGGGGCATGAAAATATACTACATGCAGGTACAGATGAGAAAAGGTGTGGCTGTCTCCTGGGAGACAGCGGAAACCTCAGAGTCACTGGAAAAGCAGCTGAAGATGGCAGAAATGACCCTTCCTGACGACGTGTGGGTAGGAACTCCCCCCTCTGATGTGTCCACCAGAAACCTCCTGTCTGACAGCGAGCCCAGCGGGGAGGAGAAGGAGCATGAGGAGAGGACGGAGTCAGACAGCCCGCCAGGGCCTCCCTGTGCCGAGGAGAGACCGAGGGCCAGGACGCCTGACTGGCTGGTGACCATGGAGAATGGCTTCAGGTGTATGGCCTGCTGCAGGGTCTTCGCCACCATGGAGCTCCTCCAGGAGCACGTGCAGTACGGGATCAGGGAGGGCTTCAGCTGCCACGTCTTTCATCTCACGATGGCTCAGCTGACGGGCAACGTGGAGTCTGAGAGCAACCAGGAGGAGGAGGAGGAGGAGGAGGAGGAGGGCCAGGAGGAGGGAGAGAAGCAGGAAAAAAAGGAGAATGAGGAGGAGCAGCCCACGAGGGAAGACCTTGGACTGCGGAGACCCTGGAGCCAGTGTCCAGGCTGTGTGTTTCATTCTCCAAAGGACAGGAAGTGAGCAAGGGTGGGTCTACTGAGGGAGGGAGCTGCAGCTTCTCTGCGCTAGTACTGTCTCTCCAGTCCAAGCTCAGGCCACCGTAAGGGAGAGTTTGGAGGCTTCTCAGGCTCAGGGAGCAACAAGAGAGGTGATAACTGGGCTCCTCTTTCTTGCCCAAGCTTCTAGTAAAGTCACGGCTGCAAAGTCAGGGAATTGCCCTGAGCTTTCCAGCTCCTGCAGGAATGTCTAAGGATTTCCAAGAGCTAACAGAGCCCCTTTCCTTACTAACTAAGAAGTGTCTTTCTCTGCTTTGGTTTTCACACAGCAACTGAGATTCATGAGCCAGAAGATCCTGGAAGAGGGTGTAGCCTTCTCTGGGGAGAGGTAAGGCCTGGGCTTGCACAGTGTTCTGAGCCTGCTTTGCCAGGGCCTGTAGGATCCAAGGGAAGGGGCTACAGGGATGTGCCAGGTTAGCTGGCGGCTCTGTAGCTGCATCGCTTGTGGTGTGCCTGGTGCTGCTGGGGGAGTCCACCTCCACTCACATAAACGAGAAGGTGGAGAGTGCTACAGGGAAGTTTTTTGGTATCTTCACGGTTGTCCTCAAACCTAACAGGAAATACTACAGCCTTGCTAGGCAGAAAGAGGTCAAAGGCCCCGGTTGGCCTGGAGAGAGGACAGTGGGTCAAGCAAGGCAAACCTCTCAGTTCCAGAGGTTTGGGATCCAAGAGCCTTTGACCGGAGCTGGAATCTCATCTTGGCCCATGGATGTAGCCTTCTAGGGAAAGGGGAAATTAAAGAAGGAGCAACATGGAAGTGAGGTCAAGATGCACAGAAATGTTCTAGAAGCTTCCTTTTGCTGCAGTTGATCTGGAAAGAAGCTCACTGTGGTGTCCTTGACTCCGAGCTTTAAGATGAAGGGAGAGGGCAGCTCTGACTAGCAGAGCTCATTTCACTTCTTGTCTTTCCCTGTTCTGCCTCCTTTGTTTTCTCACTTCCAGGGAGAAGAAAAGGCCACAGAGACACAGACAGAACGCCAGTGGGATGAAGGCGTGTGAAGGGGCCAGCCCCAGGCTACCATGTACGTGTCGTATGCAATAAAGGCTGTTTTCTAAACCTTGCCTGGATCCATTATTTAATTAACAAATTCATCCATCTGTCTCTTCATCATCTACGTCTGTCTCTCTGGTGGTCTGAGGTTTCCCATCAGCACTAAGGATACCTACCAGCCTTTTCCAGAGGCAACAATGCCCAGGATTGATTAGGGATTGATGAGGATTCTGCATGACAATTTTTCTGATGCTGTATACCATATTTCATGTGAGATCGTGGCAGACTCAACTCCACTGAGTTCACATGAAGCAATTAGGAAATATTGTTTATAGGAAAAGAGAGTTCTCCTTGCTCTTCCTACTGGGGTGAAATCTTCCCTATAAAGCATGAAGAAGAGTGACATGAGAGCCTGTAGGGAGGATTAAGAGTGTTGCAGAAAGTAGTTTCCCTTCCCGTCCCTCCTTTTTTTTTTTTTTTCTCTGAGATGGGCTAGAGTACAGTGGTGTCATCATAGCTCACTGCAACCTCAAGCTCCTGCTTTTAAGCCATTCTTCTCCCTCAGCCTCCCAATCAGCTGGGAAATCCACGTTTTTCAATTTTAGTAGAGGCAGCCCTTCACTTTTGCTCAGACTGGTCTTAAACTGTCCTAAGTGATCCTCTCCCGCCTTGGCCTCCCAGAGCGCTAGGATTATGGGCATGGAGCCACCTCACCCTACTGACATTTGCTGTTTTAATAGTTGAAAATAAAAGTTTTGGTGGCATTGCTATTTTGTCTCATTTCCTTTTTATTTCATTGTTTTCCGATCATATCTTTAGTATTTCTTTCCTTCTTTATTAGGTTTACTCAATCCTTTTATCCAGAATCTATGGAACAATTAACTCGTTGATTTTTTATCTTTCATATTTTTAAATACATGCATATAAAATGATGCAGATTTTTGAAATGCCATTTTTAGTAGTGTACCACAAGTTTGATATATTTCATGATCATTTATTTCTAAATATTTGATACTTTCTATTAAGATATTATCTTTAATATGTTATTCATTTAGGAATATATTTCAAAGTTGCTCAAATTTTATTGCAACCTGATATGTAGTCGGCTTAAAAATGGTTTCCTGTGTACTTGAAAAGAATGTGTATTTGCTGTTGGATTCAAGTTTATATGGATATCTTTTTTACTCTTACTATTTTTAAGTCTGATCTATCAGTTTCTGGTACAGGCTAAAATATTCTTTTTTTTTTTTTTATTGAATGGTAACCGTGTACATTGATGCACTTTGGGGGTACAGTGTGGTGTTTTCACACACAATCCATGACATTTCCATCAAACTGGTTAACATAGCCTTCATGTAACTTTCTTAGTTATTATGTCAAAACATCAGGCTAAAATATTCTACGATGATGGGGAACTTGTCAATTTCTTCTTATATCTGTGCAGGGATGACTCATATGTTTAGGAGCTATCTATAAATTGCTTGAATATTAATGATATGTAATTTGGGGGGTGAATTTTCTTATTGTTAAATATTCTCCCGCTTTGTCATTATTAAATGCATCTCACGATGAGTTTACTTGTTAACCAGAATGCATTTCTTCGAAGTACTCAAGGGGTATCATCCAGGTCCATTAAAATATTTGAAATGGTCTCTAGTTTTCTCTGGATTAGTGAAATTTTCAACTGTATGCTGCCATTTTCTCTCAATATCTGGAATTTTTTCAGGGCTATTTCATTACTTAAGAATGAATAATTATATGATTGATTTCTTTTCTTTTTTCCCTCTCTCTAAGGTATTAATTTTGACCATATCTTATGAATTACTGAAATATGCGAGTCTTTCAGTCAGAACATTGAACCTTTGACCAAGTACCTTAACCTCTCAGGCTTTAGCATCTTTATGTGTTATCAAAAGGCTTGGACTAGGTGACCTTTAAAGTGCTTTGTGTCTTTGAATCACCCTCACTTATTGATTTGCTACTTGAGAAAATCTTTTGTCATGAAGCAAGAGCTATCATAGTTAACATTTATTATTATTATTTTTTTTTGTAACTTTGAGTTGGGCAGAATGTAGTCAACATACTCAGCTTGTTAGAGAGATATACAGGGTGGTCATAGAGTACATGTGCAATTGCCCATGAATTTTATATGGCCACCCTGTATAACTTTACATATATTTAGCTCTAAATACTTTATGTAGTCCTAGATACTATTATGAATACCATCTTATTTGCTCTTACATTTTCTAACTTGTTACTACTGATATAGAGGAACCTGATTGATTTTTAAATTTGATGATCTTGTATCCATCTGCATTGTGGAGTTATATTATCATATTTTGCAGTGTATAATACACACCTTTTTGCTCCAATTTTTGAGGATAACAAAAAGGATGTACATTATCTATGGGTGGTGCAGCTCAGGTTGGGGGGTGGTTCCAGTGGGCCTCCCGGGGCTGCTGTGCCCTCCTGCATGGGCCCACTGGGTGCACAGAGTTCCAGCCTGGGAGGATGTGGGATCTGGTGAGAGTGGGCCAGAGCAGCCTCCTCCAGGGGCCTTGACAAGGAAGGGGTAGTGGCAGCACTGGAGAGGCAGGTCGTGGCTGTGCAGCCCAAGGGCTGAGGCTTGAGGCCAGACCCAGTGGAAAGGACTGGGAACCCCATGCAGGACCCAGGGACCTGCCTGGCTGCCTTTAAGTAGAGAGGACTCCGAAACTCCCACCCCCCTGTCCGCACATGTGGCCATCTTGGCCTTAGCCCCAGTGGTGGCCGGGAGGGATGGACTCCCTGGAGAGGCAAAAGGCAGGCTCACAGAGCTGACAGCTGCAGAAAGGTGGTGTGATCTGCATGTTTAGGAGAGAGGTGCTAGCCTTCACCAGATGTGTCTCACCCTAGCCAAGAGCTGGATACTTTCTCAAAGGGTGTTTTCCTAAAAATTTGGGCAAAAAATATGGGTGCACATTATACATGGGAGCACATTTATGCTGCAAAATAAGGTGGTAGTTCTTACTATTTTATCCGTGGGTTCTTTCGGGTTTCCTAGATAAGTGATAATACCATATGTAAATAATGTAGTCCATGGATAACTTTGATCTATTATAACACTTCTTATATATACTTTTAAAACACATAATAACTTTTTAATCGCATTTTAAAACTCCCCCTCCCTGCTGGGAACTAACATCAAGGACTTGCGTGTATCTAGTCTATGTTTTAATTCTTTTGCTGTGTATATCTAATTACAAGTAACACACAGAATTAATTGGAATATTTAGATAGTTAAATACTTACCATAATACAGCATTATGCAACTCACTTGTTTCAATCAGCATTCTGTTTTCCAGATTTATCCACATCAGTTCATATATCTCTAGATCTTTTTAATTATTTGACGTTCTATCGTAGGTATGCAGCATAATTTATTTTTCATTCAAGTATTACTGAATATTTGGACGGTTTCCACCCCTTCCCTAGAACAAACAGTATTTCATAGAGCATCCTTAGACTTCTCTAGAGCATTAAGAAGGGTCAGGCTGTTTGAAGGACTTTGCTTGCCTTTAGACACTTTCATTCAACAGGCCACTTTTTTTTTTTTTTTTTTTTTTGAGACAGAGCCTCAAGCTGTCGCCCTGGGTGGAGTGCTGTTGCATCACAGCTCACAGCAACCTCCAACTCCTGGGCTTAAGTGATTCTTTTGCCTCAGCCTCCCAAGTAGCTGGGACTACAGGCACCCATCATGATACATGGCTATTTTTTTGGTTGTAGTTGTCATTGTTGTTTGGCAGGCCCAGGCTGGAATCGAATCCACCAGCTCTGGTGCACGTGGCTGGTGCCTTAGCCACTTGAGTTACAGGCACTGAGCCCAACAGACCATTTCTTGTCAGAAATCTGAAGCAGGGATGAAATAGAAACTCATGGGGGAGATCTGGGGAACTGCCCCGAAGGTAAGAGGTTAATTCTAAGCATCCTGTTGG